GAGCTTAGAGCAGCGAATGAACAAATTATAAGTACAATAGTAGTTGATTCAAGCATGGTGAACTCGGATATATGGAACAAACACGAAGAAGAAAAGACGAAGCTTGAAAATTAAGCTATTTTGTCAAAAGAAAGAGAAAAATTGCTCTGTCAGTTCAATGTTCTGTCTTGGGAAGGATTCATTGTTGTCACTGCGATAATCTTTAAAATGGTCAAGAATAAGTTTGTGTTTGATTTTTAGGGTACGAGAAAAAAAATTGTTTTGTTTTTGATGTTTCGGGTGGAAGAATGGTGAAGAAGTTGTCGTTTCAAGTAAGAGAACAAAACATTTTTTGGTATTTGTTTTTTTGTATTGATGTGTATATTTTAATGTTTAAATGTATGTGTTTGGTATGATTGATTGTGAGAAAATGACAGTATAAACCAAAAAACACATAATCTAAATTGCATTCTCTCTTGTATTAAACAAATTCAAGTGACAAAAGATTCAAATAGATAAACACAAGAGATCACCTTAAAGGTTCAAATCAAACATAAACTAAAAGCTCAAACCAAAACACAAAACTAAAATACAAACTACAAGTTCAAACCAAACATAAAATAGAGATTTTTCCTAATCCTTTTGACCAGCAGCTGGTTGTGAAGGAGGTATTTGTGGAGGAGGACCATTGATGTTCACTGCTGTAGATCCCCAAACATCAAACACTTGAGCAGTAAATGGGGAAATATAACATCCACATCCAAATGAAATAGGAGGTTCACGCCCAAACCCATGGCCACAACCACCACGGCCACCACTCCCACGTGGTCGCTCACGCCCACGACATGGAGTTGCTGAAGTTTATGCTGCCGGAGTTTCTGATGCAGCTGGAGCAGTTGAAGGTTGCTACTCAGATGGAGCTTGGGTACCTAGTGTAAGAGTTGATACAGCTGGTGTTGATTGACTTTGAGCTTTCCTCTTTTTAGGTGTATTTTCGATGCTCCATGGATCTTCCTATCACAAAGCACCAACATAGATGACATATTAACAACGCTAAGATCTCCAAACATGGCTAAAAGATCCAAAACAATGCAGATATGGAACACTATTAACATAATAACATAAACACATACCATCATCTCTACAACCGAAAGACCTAAAATTTGAGTATCTACAACTCCTAAATCAATTAGTTATGACTATCCATAGAAATCGAACTACCAAGCACGAATTCGAAACAAGGAAGCCAAGCCTTAGTCAAATATTTCATTAAAACCCAAAAATTAAAAGTAAAGTTAGCTGAAAATGATGAGTAAACTTACAAGATTCTTCTGACGTCTTCCCCTTTTTCTTTTAGTCCCTGTTTAAACCGCTGGTGCATTTTACAAGTTCCACAGTTATTGTCAGTCTGCGTACAATTGCTACAAGTCATGGTTCTTCTGTCTCTATTAACTTTTGTTGGATTTATTGTTGACTCATGTGCTTCTTTTGTCCTAGCATAATTCTTTGGAAACCTTGGTATTCTCTTTTTGTTGGGGATTTGAGTTGGATCTTTTCTTGTTTTCTCTCACTACCTCTTTCCATTTACAGGTTTAATGTTGTATAGGTAAGTGTCTTGCCACTTCAATGTCAAATAAATGGGATCAATTTAGCTGAAACAAATTAGATAATGAGTTAAAACAACTAACAATAATTTAAAAGAAACATAATTTAAAATATGTGCAGTTTTCTAGATCACAATTATGCTTTGTGATGACATAAATGGCATGACGACAAAGTATTCCTGTGAGATCCCACTGGTTACAAGAACAATGCTTGTCTGAAGACATATCTTATAGCTACAACCTTGCTCAAAGACCTTGTACAAGCTTTCACTACACTTAAGAACTGAGCAATGCCTACTGTCCTTACAGATTTTTTGAAAAATTTCCATGATGTTAGGTGGAAATGGAGTGACACACTTCATTGTCTTCTAATACCTCCGAGATATATGTTTCATTGCTAGCTTCTAATCTCCTCTACCATGTCAACCAGTGGCAATTTAAACACTTCTTTGATTGTTCTGCTGTAACTCTCTGACAAATAATTGCAAATATCCTCACAATTTTCATGATTTCTGAATGAAGCCCTACACCATGTCTTTGGTTCTATTCTCAATAGATTCTTATGTGCAACTTCATCAAACGTCTTCAATGCATCTACAGTAAAAACTCTATAAATTAATAATGTTGGGACCTTAAAGTTTTATAAAATTTATTAATTTATAGTGATTATTAATTTATAGATATATTATTTGGTTGTAAAACTAATTTTGGAACTGGCAAAAAATATTAATTTATCGAGATATTAATGAATTGAGTATTAATTTATAGAAGTTCTACTGTATATTGAACTGATACTCACCAACATGTGAGCTGTATGCAACTGCCCATAAATAACCCCCATATGCATATAGATTGTAAACCTTCTTCCAATTGGCAAAAATGTGTCTTGCAGAACGCCTCGTAATAATCCATTTTAAACCAGGTCTTCTTCTTGCTTCATCCTTGTATAGCCTCGTAATAATTCCCTATTTCAGCATCCTAGTTTTACTACTCTTTAGATGATTATGTGCATCCACATAGCTTTTCACCATCTATGCTTTTTTTTGGTTTCTTAACTAAGCAGTAAATTTTCCAAGAACATTTCTCCTTTGTTCACACTGCCGCCAACTTAGTCTTCTCCCATCTACACAACCTCACATCATAGTTGGTTTTCGAAACATACCCCAGCAGCTGATCTTTAAATTCTTCACCAATCTTGAATGTTTGCATTAACCACAAGTATAACACATTTTCTTTATTGTATGCCTTTCTCGACTTCTCTGTTTTGTTTCTGCTGAAATTCTCACATTTACCACATGTGTAAAAAACAGGTTCTGGTCTATCAACATCCCTATATTGTCTCTTCATTTAAGCCTCATCATAGACCAAATCCTCTCTGCTTGTCTCATCACCATCATGGAAAAAAAGTTCCCTGCCACACTCTTCACTGACATTTTCATTAAGACAGATTTCTTCAAAAAGTTCCTGAAACTTTATACCATCTCATTTTTCTAGTATTGTTTATTCTTCTGATTCCTCAACAACTGCATTCCTTGTTGCAGTATTATCATCATCATCACCATCATTATCACACTCTTCTCTCTCTTTCTTGCCCTCAGCACCTTCAATATTAGCTTATTTATCAACATCGGCACTTTCAATATCAGCTTATTTATCAACATCAGACCTTCTTTCTCAACTTGTTGAATAAAGACATCAACTTCACCACACATTTTCATGATATCTAAATTAGAAGTTCGAAGGATAATAAGCATTGTTGAATCTATATCCTCGTATGGGAAATTATACCAAATTTGATCCACATAGCCACCATCTTATTTTATATTTTCATAGAAGCCATCAAAAACACTTCAAGTCATATAATCAGGATCTACTTCTAAGTTCGGCTTCAGAGATCCTCCCTTGTATCTAAATTTGTTGTTCTTTATCTCCATAACTCTTTCATTATACAAATTTAATTTGATAGTATCACTACAAAACCGATAAAAAACACAAACTAGTCAAATCCCAACTTCAATATCGAAACAAATAAACTGTTTTAAGACACGATATCATAGTTCTGATCAGTACTGCTTCTTTAATCCTGTTCCGATTCCAGTTGAGTCATTTCGTATGGAATGAGAAGTCAAGAGAATCAGAAATTGATTTGAATTTTTTTGTCGCTTCAGAGAAAGAGAGAAGAAATTAGAGTTCTTCAATTTCAGCTTGAAGATAAATTGGTTCAGATAGAATTAGACAATAGTAACATAAATCTTTCTAAAAGATGCAAAATTCACATTTTTGTAGTATAAATACCGTTCTTTCAGTATTATTAAATAGATAAATAATATTGATTGAAATAAAGTTGATCTAACAAAATTTAAATATTTATGAATTAATATAGTATTGTAAAATAGTCTGTCATATAATTTGTGTACTTTTTTCAGAAATTAGTTAGTTCAAATATTTTTAAAGTCTTTTTCTTATAAAAAGGTACATAAATTAAAAATAGGTAAAAAAAATCATTAATAAATGAATCAGATAAATCATAAATGAATTCAGATAAATATAAAAGTAAATAAAAAAGGACCAAATCTAATGAGAGAGTGGGCGAGAGAGAGAGGGAAGCAAACAAAAGACTGGCAACGGCTACTTCGAAGTTACCAACATATTTTGCTGTCCAATGCAACATGTTTTTTACACCAAAAGTTGTGCTCTTAAAAACTCTGCAATTTCTTTTGTTTATAAGTAAAATTTGCTAAATATATCTATATTTCCAGAACATATAGTTTACCATGTACGTTTTTTTATTTACATATAGAACATATACATAATATTCAGTACTAAGTTTCACTATTATACTCAAATTAATCTTCAAGCATATTAATAGTATTAACTAACACAAAAAAGCTAATTATGACCCAAGTTTCTAGGTTTTGTTTCCCACTGTACCACTGTGACTAGTGACTGTGTAGTGTCTCTCTCTCTAGATTTTAGAAGACCGTTGGATTTCTTTTTGACCATTTGAAATCTCAAAGTTTAGATCTGAGCCGTTCATTGGACCGTTACCTCATTTTCCAATCTCTCTCTCTCTTTCTCTCTCTTTCTCTCTCTCTCTCTTTCGATATCATCAACAAATTTTCTAACTTTTTGTCCATGTCCTTTTTCCCTCAGAGCTTTAACCCTATTTTCTCTACCTTCACGCAATTTTCCCCTTTCCTTTTTTTGTGGGTTTACATTTAATCTTCATAAAGTCGACATTTTTAGACTCAAAACCCACAATATTTTCTTTCCTCTGTTACTTGTTTCTTTGGGTAATCTCAGATTCTCAAAAAAGTCTGTCTCTTTCCATGGCTCATCAACTCCACCTTCTTCTTCTCCCTCTTTTTCTCCTTTCTCTTTTAGTTCTTGCTTCAGCATCTTCCCCTGCTCCAGCTGATGAAGGTGAGTACTGAGTATACATGCTTTGATCTTGAATCTATGATTCAATCTTGGAGGACCTTGAGTTTCAGATTCGTATTTGAAACTTAAGACAAAATCTCAATTTGTAGTTTTGCATGTGTTTATATTCTTCTAGAACATAAGTTACATTTCATTAGTAATATACAATGCCAGTAGTTAGTGAAATAGCTTAGATAAGCTAATTTTAGAACACTTGCATATATTATTGGCTATTTGTTTTTTGTTGTGTATGTATTATTCGGCTTTATCTATCTGTTTTACTCCATTGAGTGTGCTTCAGAGAGTGGTAGGTTATGATATTAAATGTCGGTATGTGTTTGGCAGGTGGGCTTGTTTTTAAATTCTCACTAAGAAACAAGAAATGGTGTTTCTATTGCCCCACAAATTTATTACAGGACAAATGAACAAAACTTCTACTGTTTTGACTAGAAAACAGTTGTTTTAGTCAAGTATCAAGTTCTGTTTAATGTTGTTGCATCTCCAATAAAGTTTAGGGTTTATTGATTCTGATGTGCACAAGCATAAAGTGTTAATCTTTCTGTACTGTGCTCTCCTTTGGACTAGGTTGAAACATTGATAAGTTTAGATAGTACTGAAAAGATGTGACATTTGTGTTTTGTTAAGCAAATATGCTATTTTTATGCAACAATTGGTTGCAATTTGCAGGTGCTAATGTAGTTTAGAGTTTATGGATTCTGATGTGTAAAGTGCTAACCTTTCTGTAATTGTGCTCTCCATTGGACTAAGCTGACGCATTGATAAGTTTAGATACTATTGAAATGATGTGGCATTTGTGTTTTTGTTAAGCAAAGATGCTATCTTTATGCAAGAAATGTTTGCAATTTTGCAGGTGCTTTCATCGGAGTAAACATAGGGACTGATCTCTCTGATATGCCACATCCAACACAAGTTGTAGCTCTCCTTAAAGCTCAGCAAATCCGACATATCCGCCTCTACAATGCTGATCCCGGGATGCTAATTGCTCTAGCAAACACCGGAATCAAAGTCATAATCTCCATTCCTAATGACCAACTTCTTGGCATTGGCCAATCTAACTCAACCGCAGCTAATTGGGTCAAACGCAATGTCATTGCTCATTACCCTGCAACGACTATAACCGCCATTTCTGTTGGCTCCGAGGTTCTAACCAGCCTCCCAAACGCAGCACCGGTTCTAGTCAGTGCCATCAAGAACGTTCATGCCGCTCTGCTTTCCTCGAATCTTGACCGTTTGATCAAAGTTTCTACTCCTTTATCCACTTCCTTGATCCTAGACCCATTCCCTCCCTCGCAAGCCTTCTTTAACCGATCTTTGAATCCGGTAATAGTCCCGTTACTAAGCTTCTTGCAGTCAACAGACTCATACCTTATGATCAATGTGTATCCTTACTACGACTACATGCAATCAAACGGTGTGATTCCTCTAGACTATGCTCTCTTCAAACCGATTCCTCCAAACAAAGAAGCTGTTGATGCAAACACGCTTGTCCGCTACTCAAACGCCTTTGACGCGATGGTGGACGCTACTTACTTCGCTATGGCTTTCCTCAACTTCACAAACATTCCGGTTTTGGTAACAGAATCAGGCTGGCCTTCGAAAGGAGAGACCAATGAGCCTGATGCTACACTAGACAATGCCAACACTTACAACAGCAACCTCATTAGGCATGTTCTCAACAAAACCGGAACTCCAAAACGCCCCGGGATCGCAGTGAGTACATACATCTACGAGCTTTACAATGAAGATACAAAGTCAGGATCTTTATCAGAGAAGAGCTGGGGACTGTTTGATGCAAATGGTGACCCTGTTTACATACTGAGGTTGACTAACTCTGGCTCGGTTCTTTCTAACGATACAACGAACCAGACTTACTGTACTGCAAGAGAAGGTGCTGATCCTAAGATGCTTCAGGCTGCTCTTGATTGGGCTTGTGGTCCCGGGAAGATTGATTGTTCTCCTATTAAGCAAGGAGAGGCTTGTTATGAACCAGATAATGTGGTTGCTCATGCAAACTATGCGTTTGATACTTATTATCATCAGACTGGGAACAATCCTGATGCTTGTAACTTCAATGGAGTCGCTAGTATCACTACAACAGATCCAAGTAAGAAAGAACAAAGCTTTCTTGATTGTACAGTACATTACGTTGTGTGATGCTGTTTTCTTACCCTTTTGATACAGTTACATTGTTTAATCTGTTTTCTTGCTTTGTGGTTTCATTGCAGGTCATGGTACATGTGTGTTTTCAGGAAGGTAAAATCATACTAATTCTATATGAATCTTGTGTTAGTTCGGTTTCAGATCAAACATTCATATTTGTACGATCTTTACTAGTAACAAGTTTTGATCTTTGGTCTTCTTTTTTCGGTTGCAGCCACGGTAATGGTAGGAACGGGACATCTGTGAACATAACGGCTCCATCGGCGAATTCGACGAGCTCCGGGATAGGGAGAGATTTGTATCACAGTAAGGGAATGTGGAGCATTTTGACAGTGATTTTGAACGTTGCTCTCTTGTGAGGAAACACAAGAAATGTGTTTTTGTTCCGTGGAAGATTTTAACTTTCTTAGGTGGGATTGGAGTTAGATTTGAGGCTGATTTGTTGTTGGATTCGATTTTTGTAAACAACAGAAATCAAGAAAACATTTAATGGTCTTCTTCAGTTTCTTCATTTTTGATCTCAAGAACTTGATCAAGAATTAGTAAAGAACACAAAAGGGTGATTACAAGAATGGATAAAACTTGGTTTATAGGAGAGATCTTCTTCATAGCAAAAGATTCCTACACTGATGATAATTCAACGAGATGTCAAACGAATGAAGATTTCACATCTTTCAGAACGTTTCTTGAATGTAAGAAGCTCGTTTGAGATATCTAAGGCTTTGTTGGTTATAGGAGAGAAACACAAAATGAGTTTCTTGAGTACTAATGAATTCTCAAGAATGTACCTCACTGTTTCAATCCAAATCATCTTCTTGTGTTTCAATACATTTCTCTGGCCGTTCCTCCCTCTTTTCGTCCCGACTTTCTTTACCGTGATCACTTCTTTAATCTCAAAAAACTCGAGATTAAACAGTAAGCACCAAGGCACAATGATAAGTTCAAGATCATGTGGCTGTAAGTCCTCCAAATAAACAAGGTACTGCCAACAGAAACGAGGGGAAAACAAGAAACAAATTTAGATACACTTCCACAATGATGCTCTTGAGCCAAAATCACAAGTTCAAAACAAGAGTTACCAATGTGAGGTGTTTCAAATTCGGGAAACTGTAAAGAAAATTTGGCAGCACTTGTAATAAGACTGTGCAGAACGAAGCCTCCAAACGAGATAAGTTCCGAAATTTGAAAATCGGTCCTTGTTCTAAGTAAGGAGAGAGGGCCTGCAAGAAGAACAAACAAATAAGCAATTATTGAGAATATTTTTCTCATAGTTAAAGTTCATATGTATGTATGTAGTACCTGTAGAGTAGGCTGAGAGATGATCATATGTCTTACATTAGAAATACCGCTGAGAAAATTCAGGATAATACCTTTCTTGATTAGCAAACTAGTGCCAGGAACAACATAAAAGTTGGTATCAATGTCGACCATGAACAAAGAACTTAGATTCTTTGCCACAAATCTATAAGATTGATCACCTCTGATGTTGATATACCTGAGCCTCGGAGCATCAACCTCAACCGCAAACTCTTGACGACCAAAGGGTCTTAGAGTTACAGAGAGCCTCTCAAGAGTCTGAGATGTCACGTGCAGAAGCGGTACATTATCATTAAAAAACTGACACACAGTTAAATCTTCAAGAACAGGACAGCCTGAGAGGAGCTTCTCTATGATCGAAGGATCCTCATTACTGTAACGAATGTATTCAAGATGCATGATCTTCAGACAAGGGAGAGAAACAACAAACCCGGGACTCGCCATTGAGACATTTGCGAGCTTTAAGGAAACCAATCTCTTGCTCTTATAGATGTCCACAGGCACGAAGACGTTTGTAATACAATAAAGTGTGTCAACATCTAGATGCTGAACGCCACGGTTAACCGCTTCCGAGATCTGGCTGATTCCAAGGGGATTAACAAAATCATACTTTACCTTGAACTTTTCCAGGCGCAACTCAGGGTTAATCTCAAGAAACTTGTCAATCAAGTTCTTGACGGGGGAAGCTTTGAAACAACAAGCAGAAGAGAAATCACTAAAGTGTAACTCTAGACCTGGAACATCAAGCCATAGATTTCTCCATCTTTTCGATAAAACGCTTGTCTTAACCGAATCTTTGGTAGGAAGCCACAAGAGTATCTGGGTAATCAGAGAATCCGGAAGTTCGCTGATTCCATTTGAAACTTTTTTGGCACGGAGCCAACAAGAGTATAGCTCATTGAAAATATAATGTATGCGGACTTCAAGATCTCGTAAATTTGAGTAATCCTCCTGCAAAAAATCAGCCATCAAAGAAGACTTTAAATATGGATTCACTTGAATTTAGTTTAAGTTTAGAAGTAGAAGAGGAACCTCTGATTTGGCCAAAATCATCAATTTAGCCTCTAAAATGTTTGTAAGTTCAGATTCAAGCTTTTGTTTTGTAGCATCAGTCCCTATATTTGAAGGTCCCCTCCTTCGTATGATAACTTTACTGGAGGGAATTTGAGAAAATCATTATCATAATGAGACAATTGTGAAAAAAACAAAAAAAAAATTTTAAGGAGGAAGAAGAAAGATTCTTACATTCTTGTTCGCATAGCTTGACGTAATGCATGACTGAAACGATTCTGCTGAGGACAAACAAGAGAAGAGTTCTGCATCTTGTGTAAACTGCAAGAAAACGAAAGCGTAGATGATACGCGACCGGATACACAAACGCTAGATATCGAAAAGGGGCAAAGAAAAAAAAAATCAGAAGCCTGGTCAAATGTCAGCAAATAAATAAACGGCTCATGATCTAAAAGCTGGTTTGATTTCTCTTATTTATATTATATGCATAGATTTACCCGAACCATTCCTTAATTCTTTTTCTCTTAAAGTTTCAAGGCTTATTTTCCTTAATGGTGTTGCTTGATTTTATTTGAGTTAATTAGGTATGTATTAAATGGAAACTAATTAAATTACAAAATTTTAATATGGGAAAGTTAATTAGGTAGTTAGAAAGAAAATAAAATTGTTTGATATTCCTAAATTGACTCCACTCTCTTTCTTATTTTATTTTTTTTGTTTCTTCCCTTTCTTTATTATACATGTTTACTGTTTTTATTGTCAATACTAAGAAGGAAAGAAACAATATCATAGCCGCTATGAGAAGAGCAGAAATTCATCAATACTATCCAAGAAAGTTTTTGAGTGACAAAATATTTTCGAAATGGAAATTCCCTCGAATTTTTATACATCAAATTTGTATTTTCCAAACCTCTACAAAGCCATATAAAAACAGTTAAATACTTAATCTACAAACTTGAGAAGGATTCATAATCAATATTAGATTCTCCATAAAGTATATGTATTTTGTATGTATACCCTTTTAAAAAAAACTAATCGATGGTTTAATAATACAATCAGTAGTATTGTAAGATGAACAACTCTGAAGATGGACACTATCATTAGAGTTAGAGCTAGAGCTTATGTCCCAAAGTTAAACTCTTCTACAACATGACTATAATGCTACAACGATAACTACTGATGCTCATGTGCATCAGACACATGTCAGAGATGTTGGAATTCAATTTTAAGGCATGTTGTATCAGTACATTTTCGAGCAACTCCCGACATATTTCCGAAGGAATTACTGGATTATGAGTGTACTCATATATTAAAATTGGAATTTGTTTGAATGAGAAATGTTTGTCTAATGTTTGTTGCTTGAAATACACAAAATGGACCAGTAGAAATTATGGAGAAGTCCTAATAAGGTTAAAGACCTTAGGACAATTGTAGAGAAGAGCGAATTCATGATAAACCATATGCGCGCGCACCGAGACGAGTCGAAAGTGGCTCGGGCTCGGATTTGGGTTTAGGCGTGGATTCATGGTAGATAGGTTTTGGTCCAATAATCTTTCTTTTGTATCAAATTAATATTTCTGTAATTGACCACTACATAAATTTTTATTTGGTCAAAAATAAATAATATATTTAGTCAAATGATAATAAAAACTTAGCCAAATCAAGTATTTTCTACAATTAAATAATTGATTTTCATCAATTTTGTAACTCCACAAAAAAATCATAATGACTCAATATTAATTGAGATTAATGAGCATTACGGAGGAGTTGAAAAGTTTCATCTCTCTCATTTTTTTAAAAAGAACATGAAACCACAATCTTAATACACACTTCTATTTTCTTTTCTTTTTCTTTGTTTTTTTTATTTTGAGAGTACAACATAGAAAAAGATTTGAAATCTTATGAATTAAGGGTGATGCGAATCATAAGAATGATACAGTTGTATCCTGAGATTCGGAATGCCATGCAACTGTCACACTACGGGGCGTTTACAGAATTTAGGAAAGAGATCTCCATATCTCGACTCTGCAATCCGTTTTCCTAAATTCTTGTTTAATCGGTATCATTTTATATTATGTTTATCGAATTATTTTATGTAATTTCTTCATAAATTATCAGTCAGTCCAATTATAGTAATTGCATTCCTACAAGAGAAAGATAATCTGACATTTATGAGAATGCCTTGTGGTTTTCTCTCCATATGATTTGAATAAGTCTGTGTTAAGAAACAACATACGTACAATCGACAGAGACAAAGAAGCATTAATTCGATCAGTGGTGTTGTCAGTCTATTAGATCTTTCTCATGCCATAAACATCAAACTGCAAAAGAATCGATTCCATCGGAAGAAGAAGTAATAGAGTTTTATCTTCCAAGAACTTCGTGTAGCTTTTTTTCTTTTTAACGGCAACAACACTATATATTAAACTTAAATTTTATAGATATTGGACTTGAAAGCCAGTCACTCTGAAAGAACTGAGTCTACATGGGAAAAGATCAAACCGCGGGCTTGAGCGCTTTTGCAAGACGATCCGCCTGGATACTACGAGAGCGTGGGGTAAAAATAATGGAAAGATTATGAAAGTTGGGGTACAAATACTCCAATTCTTCCAGTTCTGTCGATAAAGCCGGCCATTCTTCCTCCTCTTCAATTAGTTTAACTAGCTGTTGACAGTATGTCTCAATCACCAGTCCAGGTATCTGCATGGGTGACAAAACTCTCATTGCCCACAGGAGGGCTTCAAATTCAGCATGTAAAGGTGAGAGAGTTTGTTCAACTGCCATAAAACCAAATAACTGACTGCTATCATCTAGCTCAATGACTAGTATCCCACCTGTTGTATCCCCTTCCATAATCTAGGAGGCATTAACTTGGCATCTCGGGTACAAGGGCCTATCATTAATGGGGCTTTTCACATTACTGTTTTCCTGCCGCTCTGGCTCCCGGATGGTGTTTGGGGATTCTCCAGTTTCCGAGACTTTTTGTGTCACTTTCCAAGATTCCGCTTCTTGTAAAGCTATCTCCAAAGTATCTGTTGGCAATATGTCTTTGTTGTTGAAAACCTTTTCATTCCTGGCCTTCCATGTATACCATAGGATCCAGGGAAATGCTTCCAAGAAATTTGCAGTCTCTTCTTATGCTGTAACTCGGAATAGGAGGTATGCTAAGTTTGGGATATTTCTAAACACGGAAAGGTACCCGGAGGGGGTGGGATTGCACTTAGAGCCCATGTTTGTAGCATTGGAGGCATTCAAAGAGTACATGATTATCGACTTTATCTCTACTCTACATCGCTGGCATCGGCTATATGTCCCACAATGGTGATACATCAGTTGGCTATTGGTGGCCATACATCCGGGTAGGACCTGCCACAAGAGATGTTTAATCTTTCGGGGTGTTTTTAAGGCTCATACTTTACTTTTTAAGGGGGTAAAGCTCGGTTCTAAGACTGGTTGTATTTCCAATTCATCTCTCATTTGTGCTGTCAACTCATAGCCAGCCCATACAGAGTAAATATCAGACTTTAAATAAGTCCACACTAACCTATCAGATTTGTATGCCCTACTGGGTCTGATGCTCTTTATACGCGGAATATCTTCCGGATCACCTAACTCATTAAGGAGTTCATAATGCCATCCAGATGTAGCTGGGTATATCAGGTGATGCACATACAGTTTCGGGTCTCTCCCTCCTCCTATGTCAAGAGCAGATCTTGGTGGGCAGGCCGGGATCCAGTTATCATACCACACTCTTGTACTGATCCCTGAATTTATTGCTTTTCTCAAGCCTTTTTGAAGAAGTTCTCTTGCCGACATGATACTCCTCTATCCATAAGACGGATTATTGGCCTTACCAATCTCCATCGGGGTCGAGTATCGAGAGTATCTCGCTCGTAAAACTCTCGCCAACAAGGATGATGGATAGTGTATCAGTCTCCAGAGAAGCACCAAATTAAAGCATTTTAGGTCCTTGAAACCCAAGCCGCCTTTATCTTGGCTTACACTTATTTTATACTAGTCAACCCAATGCATTCCTTTATTATTTTGCTTTGTACTCCACCAGAATTGGGCTATAGCTCCATTAAGCTTCTTTAGCAGATTTTGTAGGAGAAAGAAACATGACATGAATAAGTGGGTAGGGCCTGAGCTACCGACTCAATCAAAACTTCCATCCACCCTTTTGAGAGCAATTTGGTTGACCATGCATTGATTCAGGTACTCGGACTGTCTTGAATAAAAGCAAAGACTTGCTTTTTAAATCCACGAATCTTTTCTGGTAACCCCAGTTACATTCCCATACCGCCTTCTTTTGAGATGCCCAGCGTCTGTTTTACCCCTGTCTTTTTTGGGACCTTACTTCCAAACAGGATAGAAGATTTTGCACAGTTAAGTTGCTGTCCCTATGCTCTCCCATAGCTGTTTATGATCTTCATCAGTTCTTCACGTTCTTTCTTGTCAGCTTTACAGAAAAACAGGCTACTATCTGCAAATAGAAGATGTGATATGAGTGCGTAAGTCTGAGCTACTATCCTTCCTTCCATTTCCGCTCCTTTAACTTGAGCTATCAGAGCCTCTGTCAGAATAATGAACAAGAACAGTGATAGTGGGTCTCCCTGACGTAGACCCTTTGAGGGCTGAATATTACCCTTTGCTTCTCTATTGAGGAGGACTTGGTATGACACAGATGAGATACTCCATCTAATCCACTCAACCCATTTCCCAGAAAATCCCATTTTTCGCATCAGTCCTTTGAGAAAACCCCACTCCACTCGGTCATAAGCTTTGCTCATGTCTGTCTTAATAGCTATGTATTTAGATTTACAGACTGGGTTAGTTCTCAGTGTGTGGAACACTTCCTGAGCCACTAGGATATTATCCGTAATAAGATCGAACTACAAAAGCTGACTGGGTCTCCGAAATAAGCTTCAGGAGGAATCTTTTTAATCTCTTTCTTAGGATCTTTAGAATAGTTTTGTAGCTGACATTGCAGAGGCTTATGGGCCTGAACTCTGTCATTTCAGCTGGTCTTGCTGTCTTCAGGATCAGGCAAATATTTGTCTGGTTAAATCTCTAATCAAACATGTCTGAGGCAAAGAAATCTCTGACCACTCTGATGATGTCTTTTGAGGTCACCACCCAGAACTTCTGGTAAAAGAGACTGGTCATTCCATCTGGTCTCGGAGCTTTCTCCGGGTTTATCTCAAAAATTGCTTTCTTTATTTCTTCATCAGATGGATAGCTCGTAAATGTAGCATTAATAGCTGGAGTAACTTGCGTGGTAACATACCAGAGAGCCTCATCCTGACAATTT